TATTTGCTTGCGTATAAATAGGTATAGGAAACTCAAAATGAAAAAAAAAATACATGTTCTACAATTCTACGACAATTCGACAGCTGTGTAATCTACTGTAGAGCAAATGACACACCTACTACAGTGTGGCACCAGCCACGCTGAAGCACGCCGAGGCCGTATTGCACGAGGAACTTGGCCTGGCACAAACCATTTGCCTGAAATAAAAGGAACTTCAAGTGTATAGGCGAAATTCCATGAGAAGGCTTCAATCTGTGGCTCAGTGCGATGGGCGTAACACCAGTGAATTCAAATAAAGAATTGTGTGGTCACAGCTTTGAGTTAACGAAAACAAACGTGGATGGAAAAACAACTTCAAACCTAGTAGGAAATCAACACACATGCTTTGACTTACGAATGCACTATATTCGTTTTCAGTGAAAGTAGCGCGAACTGCCGGGGAAGAAAGAAGTTTAGTCATGAACCGAGGTGCAGCAAAAGAGCGTTTTTTACAGCTGTTCGCGTGAGGATTTCCTAGACATGAAAAAATAATCGCGTAAATTTAATTGAATCTCTTTGAAACGATAGCCATACCGTTATCCATAGCTCAACACAAGCGCAAATTTGGTGCAAAGTTTAGAAATTACTTTATGCAGATGGTCATTGTTGATCTACTTTACATTTGATGGCAATCTCACCTTTCGGCCAACTGGCTTGCACACTTTTGGGCTGTAGCGGACTGATTGGTCGCAGTCACTCTGCACAGTGACGAACTCCACACGGACAACATTACCACGTGGTGGCTCAGTGAACTGCACAAAAAGCCTGGATATTTCACTGGCGTAACCACTATAAAGTGTAAAGCACTGTATGTCAACCAAAAACTGAAGACCGAAGGGAGGCCGTCCTTATGATCACGACTAAAGGAGCAGTACCCCTCATGCCTCCACTAATGTGTTCTCAATTGAGGCACAGTTAGTGGCTGTCCGGTTCAAGTTTGTCTGAAGCGCCCATCAATTTCTGCGGAAATGAGTGCTTCCGTTTTGGAAGTGAAAATACTGTAGACATCTGTAGTTGTGTCCGACTACAGCTTGACTTGTGTTAAATTCCAGTGGCAGATCGCGAGTGCTGTGCCGGATTGCGAATGGAGCGCGCAGATCCGAGCGGGATTGCTCTCGCTAAATCTGCGGTATGAACGCCTGCGTCTCGACGGGTGCTCTTGCTGAGCGCAAATCTAGCGAGGGAACACGAGAGGGTGCGAGAGAGCGGGAAGCGTTTTTCATCCAATCGGTGATTGGATGAAAGACAGGCGCACTGAATACGTCACTTGAACTTTCGGTTAAATCCACCGAATTCGGCGTAGCGAAAATTCTTGCTCGACGGAGCAATTCGTGATCTGCGGTTGCTCTGAATCTACCACTGGAACACACAATTCCCGCTCTCAATATGCCATTAGAATGCGATTGCTACGTTCAGAGAACAAAAACTTTCTTTGTTCAGTGAAGAAAAACTTTTTCGTTCAGAGAAGAAAAATTTGCTCCGTTTAGAGCAGAAAAACTTGATCTGGATGCACCATTGCAATTCAGCATTAGAAAAGACTGTACAAGAGGACGGGCCCTCATGGCAGAGAGTCTGCGCTATGTGTAGACCAGCAAAGCATGCCTTCGTCGCAGACTCCTTTGCAAACTTTGGCGAAAACGACACACGAGTGCGGAGAAATTCGGCGAATTATCTTTCGTTATCTAAGGTTTTCATGCTGTGTACTGACACTTTTTTTTACCTGAAAGCATGAAGGTAGTCTGCTCTGTTCAGCGCCACACAAGGAAGAGAAGTGGTGACGTGAAAGAGAATATGCGCATGCCTGCTACGGGCAGTCTCAAACAGCGGTCGTTTGATAGCTAGGTTTCCCGGAAACCAGACACCACATTCGCTTCTTCTGAGTACCGTTATTGGCATTTTTTATGATGAGCACTAAATTGAAGATTTAAAGCAAGGGTTAAGTGGCAATGCTTGAAATGGATGGTACGTCATGGCACCTACTAACTACACTACGTGACCATCGAAATCTTTACCAGGAGTTCTTAAGACTTTAGTTATCTCTTGCGGAATAGAGAGGAAACACATCAGCGACCGGGGCAGGCTTTCGCTCTGTTCTTTATCGTCTCCGTGGTCATATTTTATGCTTAGTAAAGCTTATTAGGTCTAGCTGTGCTAAAATTCAGGTGCTTTAGCCCTCTGATGTATTATGCTCAATAACATATATTTATAAAGATGCAATGCTAATTAAAACTGAGTCTTCAGCCCAGTTAGGTAATTACTATTGTCATGCTTGTTTTAGAGTGAATAAAATGTTGATTTATATCAAAAAAGCATTACTAAATTCTGAGTCTGCTCGAGCACTGAAACGCACATATCGAGTGCACGAAAGTTTTGTAAAAACAGACACTGACTACTGTTATCATGTAGATATTACAACCACACAACTAACAGCAAAAGCAAAGAAGAAAACTTAGGTGTCCAACAAAATCTGATTCGCGGATACGGTGCAACTTGTCTATTACAGCGTAAAAATATACAACGCCCATGTGACTTATTGATACGCCAGGCGCAAATTTAAGGAAGGCTCAGCGAAGCATTCCGCAAGTCACAGAAATCTAAACATAGTAGCAGTATAAGGTGAAGCATATTTTGATTGTATTCGATTATGTATCCTTCAGTTAACATTTCAATAATAAAAATAAATCTTCGATTTGCATGTATATTCACTGCTTGAGATGAAAATTTGAAAAGAAAAACTGCCAGAACAAGCAATATTATTCTAGGAAGAAACTCCGCTGAGAGAAGCCTAATAAACGTGCAATTACTGAAATAACACGCTAGACTTTTTTTTAACAGCCATATATTGAGGTGATCTATTCGAGGGCTACAGAAATTTTTACAGCAGTGACAGTCATTATAGCGCGTGATTAACCAGTCAACGCATACATCCGCGTAGACGCTTTGAGAATGCACATAAAGACATTTCGCTTGGCTTCCATCACATCACTTCGCCTCACTTCGAACTTTTAGGCCTCACTCAGCATTCAGCGCAACTGTAGCTCAGCATTGCGCAGTTCTTCTATTGCACTTCACGCATGCAGCACGGCTTCCGATGTCATTGTGGTGCCTACACCCACTCAAAGCCCTTCTTATAATTCCTGGCATCCAAAATAAGAAATAAGTCGTCGCATATAGCCCTGAAACAGCCCACATTACTCTTCCTGCTACAAAAGCACACCGGTCGCCATCTCATTTACACGGATGGTATGGTGTCTTCAGTAAGCTCAGCCGGGGCAGTGGCTATTCTAGCGAGGCACATCACAATTAAATTCATGACAACGCATTTGACGTCATCGACAGCTGCAGAACACGCTGCCAGACGTGATGCTCTGGAGTTGAAGAACCTTCAGGCACTTGGTCAATCTTCATGTACTCGAAGGCAGCTCTTCAATGTCTTATGTCACCTTTTCGCCATGGACCTAATGAACATTTAGTAGCTGAAACAAGGCTTCTTCATCACCAAGCAATCGAGAAACAGCACAGCATAGTGTATCAGCGGATACCAGGTCATTGCGGTATATATGTCGATGACCGCACAGATGAGTCCGCTGCATCTGCACACGACGGTACCCAAGACACAGCCATTCCATTCTCAAAAACCGATGCAGCTACAAGACTTCATTCGCTTGCACGTGACCTCCCACTGGTACAGTAGAACTCAACAGAATTCATAAACGTGTGCCTGCATAACTTAGATCTTGATCTGCAGCTTCTTCCTTCAGAGATATTTCGGGCTGAGGAGACGTTCCTATGCCACCTGTGGCTTGGAGTGGCCTTCACGAACGCATACTCTTATCTCATTGGAATGGCCAGCTCTTCTACATGCACTTACTGCAGCTGCGAAGAAACCATCGCGCACCTTCTATGTGAGTGCATCCACTTCAACGCGCCAAGACAAGAACTGACTGCAGCTCTGGATAGACTGGAATATCGGCCTTTGTCGGAACAAGGAATTCTGGGTCATTGGCCGAGCTTATCCTCAGCCCAGAAGGCCTTGAAAGCTTTGCTGCGCTTTTTGCGGACAACTGGCCTCTGAGGCAGGCTTCAGTGTTTTATACTCTTTGATGTTGCCTTTCTTCTGTCGCTATTTTTTTTGTAATTTCTCTCTCATTCTCTTCGAAACATTATTTTTATCATCTTTTATTCCCCTCACCCTTTTCCCCAGCACAGGGTAGCCATCCGTTCTAAGAACTTGCTAACGCTCCTGTGGGGGGGGGGGGGTAAACAACAAGAGGGAAGGCAGGGAGGTTAACCAGGCACATGCCCGGTTTGCTACCCTACGCTGGGGGAATAGGAAGGGGGCATAAAGATGAGAGAGAGAGGAAACAGAAGAGAAAGAGAAAAAAAGGAGGATCCTTCCGCCTAAACTTTCCTCCGCCTTTCCATTATGATGTTTTTTTTACGTGCACTGGCATCAGACTGTGATTACATGAACCTTGATTTTTTCGCGTCTGCAGAAATCAAACCGCAGTGACCAGGACAGAAACCACTATTTCAGGTAAGCAGCCTATACCAAGGTAACCATTGCGTTCCCGTCGCAAAATATGAATGAAATCAGTTTTCCGATATCACTCGAGTATCACTTATATGAAGCTTTTTTTAACAATACCGTCCACGTGACATTTAAGGGTGAGCTGTATGGGGGGGTTTAACGTCAAACCCCCGTATGATTATGAAGACGCCGTAGTGGAGGGCTCCGAAAATTTCGACTGCTTAAGGATCTTTAACGTGCACCTAAATCTGAACACACAGGCCTACAGCATTTATGCTTCCATCGCAAATGCAGCCGTCGCAGCTGGGATTACATCCCGTACCCTGCGGGATATTCAAGGACGTGATGGGTAAAATTAATGGTTCGTTTCAGTTTATGATAATGTTACCGACCTTGTAGGCTCATGAAATGACCAAAGAGGCTTACTTACCATCAGTGCTGCGCGAACGACTCGAAGAACGGTGATGAGGTTTCCCTTGCGCGGTTGGTGGTGGCGTCTCTTGAGAAGCTTGTGCGCGTAGCGCAGCAGGATAGGGTTGCCAGGAAGCGAGCGCCCTGGAGCCAGGGTGCATGTTCCAGGTATCAGGCGCCGGTCACGACTCCGCACGCAGCCCTTAAACAAGTTTGTCTTGTCGTCCCCTATCGCTGCTCCATAGAGCAGCATTAGCGAGGCGATCCACAACATGGTGCCCGGGATGGTCGGAAACACTAAACTTAACTGTCCCCTGACGCTTGGAAGAAGCTCAGCTGCATGCTAGTTACTGCTTTTGAATGCGTTTGAGGGGAAAGGGAATGGCGAGGATGGATGAATGTGCTGATAAGTCAACTCTGCGCAGAATAGTGACGCATGCAATGTAAGATTGCAGTGTGCTTCGGAAACATTTCTTCCTCGTAAATTCGCCATGTTTATGCTGTGGGAACCTTTTAAAAATCAGTGAAAGCTTGTAGGGGTGTTAGCGATAGCAGTTCGTACCGTTGCCGATGCAGCCCGCGGCAAGTGTAAAAAGAAATGTCTCTTTACAGTTGATATATTGCTATAGAATGACGCTTTATAATGAAATGAAAGCTTCAGGAACGAGCTATCGCTATCATAGGCGCGGCAGTTTAAGTACGCCTTCAACATGCTTCTGTATTCGATCTTGCGAAAACAACAAAAGATAGGGAGCACAACGTTCTTCATTGAAAATAGAAGCGTAATGAAGCCACAAGGTTGCCTAGCCGTGGAGATAATAAAAAGGTCTAAAAAATGCTAACATACCAGATTATGTCCATCTTTATACTGTTAATATATTGTACGGTAATCATAAAATAAATTTTTCGCTTTCTGTACCAACAATGCAAAACTTCCACTCATACGCTAAGATATGTCGCCGGGCTGCACGTTTCAAAACAGTGTTGTGATTATGAGAGACGCCACAGTGACGGGCTTTAAAGTTTCGACCACTTGCTTTTAAAATGCTGTTCTTCAACTAGGTATGTCGGCCTCTCGAAATTGACCTTTAGCGATATGTGTCAGCCGTGGCCGGGATATGCTGCTGCAGCCTTTGGGTCAGCCGTCAAGCACTTGACCATGGTGACGGGTAGCATGCAGTATAGCGACTCACGAAAAGTTGACGACAAAAAGGGGACATTGAAAACAATTTCAACCGCTAAGTTAGTTACGAAAATGTCATACCTGAAGTTTCAAGTTCCAAAATGATACGATTATGAAGAACATCATACTGAAGGAATGCGAACATTTCAACCATGTGGCGTTCTTTATTCGGCTTCGTAATCGCACAGTGCATGGGCCCCTACTAGTTCACCTCAATCGGCATGCGACCACCAAGGTTAAAGAAGCACTGATATTAAATTTCAAGATCGAGATGGACCCATAATTCAAATGCTTTGTATGCATGGGTCTTCTTCGCCAAATTTAAACGGCATTTGTCGCATGGAAATTATTTTATTTCGATGATTAACAAGCGTAGAAATGCTAGAGTGAGGAAAAAAAACGGATAATAGACTGTCCTGCGACAATGACACTAGTGCTACGTGTACGGTAGGGACGGTTTTTTTGCAGGTTAAACCGTTTCGCCCACGTGACCTTTCCGGTGACGTCACCACAATTTCACGGCTGCTGAGGCACTCTTTTTTTTTCCGCATTCACGGTTCGTTTCAAGTCGAGACAGATATCACCGTTCAGACAAGCCGGGGCGAGGTGAAAAAGCTGTGATCATGGCTGAATAGGTAGCATAGAGTGTCTGAGAAAGCCTTGGATGTGAAGATTCTTTCCTCCGTGGAACAAACGAAAGTCGGCAAAAAAGACGTTGATTGATGATGATTGATATGTGGGCTTTACCGTCCCAAAACGACCATATGATAATGAGAGACGCCGTAGTGGAGGGCTGCGGAAATTTCGACCGCTTGGGGTTCTTTAATGTGCACCCAAATCTGAGTACACGGGCCTACAACGTTTCCGCCTCCACCGGAAATGCAGCCGTCGCAGCCGGGATTCGAACAGGTGACCTGCGGCTCAGCAGCCGAGTACCTCAGCCACTAGACCACTGCAGCGGGGAAAAAGCACGTTCCGGGTCAGATCTGTCGTCATCGAGGATATCGCGTGCTGAGAGGTGTTTGCAATTCGTTTCGCGTCGGTATTGCGAGTACAGAAACATGAAGGTCACTTCAGTGGCAAAGTGGTTTGTGCTTCTTCTTTTTTGAACTCTCATCGCTGTGAAATAGCCGGCTAGTGCCGTAATGCCCCGTGTTGAGACTTATTCGCAACGTTTACCGTTAGCAAACGACTGCATCCGCTGCCATCAATTTGTACGCACAAGTACGTACAATGACATGCTGCATATAGGCGAACATCTTCGACAGATGGCTGGGGGAACTTGCACACCAATAACGAAATCTCCAGGTAAGTTATAGTCCAAAAATAAAACTTAAAGATTGTAAACTGACCCGACGTTTCGGGACCGATTCGATCCCCTTTTCAGAAGTTACTGCTCGGCCGGCTCCGAAGCTAGCAATTTTTAAATGCGAAGCATTTCTTTGTGAACCTCGGTGACTTTGAGCTTATCTATCTATCTATCTATCTATCTATCTATCTATCTATCTATCTATCTATCTATCTATCTATCCTATCTATCTATCTATCTATCTATCTATTATCTATCTATCTATCTATCGATCTATCTAGCCGCCTACGACTTTGAGCTCTCCTGGCCGTTGAGATTATAGTATTGATACCAAATTTGATATGACATAACACGACTGTATTAAAACGTATATAACTAGGCATACAACGAATATCAAGACATGTATGTCAGGAATGTCATGATATACATTTCATAGTCCTGCAGCTCTTGCAGTTGTTTTGTTCACATGGCATGTTGCAAAAGTGGTATGGTAGGACATGATTGCATGGCGAACACAAGAGACAGACCCTAATATGAAAATCATGACATGCGTGTCATGTAACTACATGACTACATCCCACGCTCACGATGCGCTCGCGGCCGTTTCACCAGTTTCCCTTATACCAAATTTGGTATTACGGGATGTGAATGGATGACGAAGGTATCACACTGGTGCGAACATGATAAACATGAGATGCGTGTGATGTAACAACATGACTACCTGCCACGCTCATGATGCGCTGGTGGCTGTTTCGGTAGCTTCCCTTATACCAAGTTTGGTATTACGGGACGCGAATGGAGTACGAAGGTATGATACTGGTGCAAACATGATAATCATGAAATGCGTGTCATGTAACAACATGACTAAATTCCACGCTCATGATGCGCTCACGACAATTTCGCTAGCTTCACTTATACCTAATTTTGTATCACGGGACTTAAATGGGTGACGAAGGTATTATTGTTGTGCAAACAAGATAAACATGAGATGCGTGTCATGTAACAACATGACTACATGTTACGCTCATGATGTGCTCGCGGCCGTTTCGCTAACTTCACCTGTACCAAACTTGGTAATACGCGACGCGAATGGACGACATAAGTAACTGACACATCCAAACATATTATTCACGACATGCGTGGCATGTAACAACATGACTTATTGCCACACTGATGATGCGCTCGTGGCCATTTTGCTACCTTCACATATGCAAGATTTGGTATTACGTGACGCCAATGGACGATGAAGGTATGTTACCGGTGCAAACATGATAGTCATGAGATGCGTGTCATGTGAGAACATGGCTACATGACACAGTCAATGCGCCAATACATTACCACTTGACGTGGTGTGCGAGCTCGCCGACGTTCATTTCGTAGCGTCACGCCAAGGGCCGGTCCTGCCATATACTCGCAGGCGCGCACCGCGCTGCGTTTCTTTGACGCATGCGCGTTTCAGCGCGCCCGGTATCCCTCCGTCACGAAAAGAGTGAGACGCAGTGTTGTATGGGTAACGCATCAGCGCGAAATGCAACATGTCGCATTTAGCGCCGGTTCCCGTCGGGCCACGCCGGCGGACGCTAGTCGCACCGGTGGCACCTAGCATCACACTATAAAGTGCTCACGCTATGTTAACGTAGTGTCACTGTGCCCAGCGTGAGCGCGCGTCCACGCTACATTAGAGTGTATTGGGCCCTTCTTGACGCGCTCGCGGCCGTTTTGCTAGCTCAACATAAACAAAATTTGGTGTCACTTGATGTCAATGTATGACGAAAGTATGTGACTGGTGCAAACATAATAATCCAAACACGTGTGTGATCCCAAAACATGACCACAAGCCAAGCTCATAGCGTACTCGCACTTGTTTCACTAGCTCCACATTTACTAAATTTACCCCGTATTCTAGAACGTCCCTTCACTCGACACTCCACCTTCACTTGAGAAAGCCGATGAGAGCGCCAACTTTAACAACGGCAAGTCACTGCATATCAGCAATGATCTGCTGCAACTCTTGAGTGACGCAGCGTCATTTTCAGCCAAGCGGCAGCGCACTGCTTAACTCTGTCAAGTGAATGGTGAAAGTCGAGTCGAAGAGCGTTTGTGAATACGGGGGTTAGTATTCCGTGACCTGAATAGATGACGAAGGTAAACGACACATCAAAACATGATTATCATGACGCAGAAGTTATTTACGGCATCACTTGCCTCCACCTCGTAACGTTGTGCTGATTTCAAAGTGACATATCAGCATTTCTCATTCGTGCTTCGCATATCATCGATTGCCACTGTACGTGGGATCTGCCTTTTTTTTTCTTGGTGGTTTCGCCTTCTCTGTCGTCCCTCTTTCAGCGTTCTTGTTGCTGTGGTGTTTTTTCAACTTAGTTTTGTAGACCGTGGACGCATACACTGGGCGTATAGACAAGGAACTGTCTCGTTCTGTCTTCGCTGTTCAAACAATTCGCGTGCCCGTACTGTGAAATGGGAAAGAGACCAAAGAGATAACAACGAAAACAAGATCCTACAAGGTGATCAAGGCATGCACAGGACAGTTTGCTGATGAAGATGAGAGTTCAACCAGACAGCGCGCGATGCATTCGCACTTACTTTCCAGGCCAAACTAATCGGATAGCGCGAATGTTTTGCAGTAACGACGCAATACCATGTCGTGACAGACAAGCAAACGAGTAGAAAAATAACATTTTTGCGCCACCTCATCACCAAAACCCCCTACAAATTTTGCTTACATAAGCAGCGTGTAATTGTACGCGCCTCTAGGAAGCAGCGGATTCAGTCGTTTG